TCGGGATGACGAGCAGCCCCACTTACGAGCACTTCAGTTAAAGAGCAGGCCACTCGCAGAAAATTTGTTTCGCTTGACGAGCTTCCGCCCAGGTAACGAGTTGCCAGTGCGTGCGTATTTGCCTATATCCGCCGTTGAGTGTTCTCCCAGGGCGTGGGACCTCGATTGCCTGCAGCCAATCAATGAACTGAGAAAGTTTGTTTGGCTATGTTTCGCAAGACGAGCTCGGTGCCGGAACGGATTGAATTCGCTTAACGAAGTTCGATTGTATAAGCAAGTGGAGGCTGCATGTTACTCTTAAAGACGATTACAATAAAGGGTGCTTTATAGCCCTCAGTAATACGGAAGTCTTCCCAAAAAAAAAAACGAAAAAGGACACCATCCGGGTATGTCACTTTCAATTACGTCCATACATTACTATGTACCTGTAGACGCAAATATAGCGCGCAACTACAAAGGCAACTGGTCATCGTAACAGCCGGGCACGCGGCAGTGGCTTTTAAAATCGTTGATGAGATACGTTGTTCCTTTACCACGGCCGACATCCTACTGACTTACACTACCTTACTGAGTTTCCATTTGCATTTGAGCAGTCTGAGCATTGCACAACACGAACACGGCTTATGCTCGGATCACGTTTTTAATCTAAATCTAAATTTTTTCCGGTTCTTTTGTCTTGTGTTGAAAGGGATGGGCTAACGGTATGTGTCCAAGAAGCAGATTCATCCGTGGATTTCGTGCCAATGCAGATAACCCGTATGGCCACATTCTTTGCTGGTCGTGAGTTGAGTAACATAGGGTCACCACTCGTATGACCTTCTGGAGATCGTCTCGGTCTAGGATAATCACACACGGTAAGTGCGCATCTGCTAAAGGCGACTGAAGATGTTCGTGATATAAAAATAGGTTGGGAAGAAAGGACTATTTCCTAAAGTTGGAGTCTCCGAAAAAAATATGAATGGTGCGCACTGTGCTATTGTCAACAGTTCTATCTACAGGCAACGAGATTGAAGACTATGTAGATGGAATGCTTGGCAGTGCGTCATCACCAATCTTTCGTCTTGAGAACATGTCCTGTTCAATAGAAAAAAAATACTTTGCTCATTAAGTTTCTTTTTGCTCGTGTTATTTCTGCTTTTCCTTTTGCTTTCTTTAATCCTTTCCAGTGGATTCAGCTAAGCCTTGAGGCGTGCGAAACAAAACGATACTGCTAAGATCGAGAAGGGCTATTAGTCTGCACTATACAGAGCGCTAGATTTTAGGTTAGTCCGCTGATGGAACCATTTAAGGGAGCTCAAAATTACACAATATTGTGTAATCAATGGCCAGCAACGGTCTGAGGTGCAACAGAGTATGTACCCAGAATGCGAGCACGGGATACCTGCACAACCGAAAAGGCGAAAATGATGACGACCGTTCCCAAGGCAGACCGAAAAGCAGAAATAAAACACGGTCGTGCTCAATGGCAGGTCGTAAAATATTCCAAGGGATCTGACTACGTACCTGGGTGTTGGAATCAACACCAAAGTGCTCATAAACTTTCATGATATTGCACTTGTCAAGTTCGATGCCGTTCCAAGTTGACTTCTTGTCTTCTTCGACCTGGTCTGCGTATATTAGGAGCTTTCGGAAACGCCTCTTTTCGAAAATGCCCATGAGCTCTTGAGAGACAAGTAAAATGGGAAAAAATGCATACTAGAGTTTAAAGCCTCGACTTCATCGCAAGGAACCTTGTATATTTTGTCGGAACCATCAGTTCCTTTGTAAACGTAACTGCCCACAACGGATTTGAATTCCAAGTAGCGAGTTACGCCGGTGTGCAAAAGCAATTTGACCAGTTTACCTACAGAATAATATTGTGAAAACCTATACCTTCAGCCATCAAAAACTTTGGGATAAGGTCAACGTTCCAGTCCCGACCTCGACCATAACGTTCATCAGTAGGGCAGGGTTTGTTAAACCGTTCAAATAGCTTTTCAAGCGGGTTCACGGACGTGCTCTCCCCACCATAATAGTTGTTCCTGTCCATATGCAGTACCTTTTTCCCAGCAACTGACATCAGGCCGCTGAGAATACATTCCTAAAGAGAAATTAGAAAAGATAAAATGAGCGTGGTTTACTTTAAGCCCGGTCCCAAGAACGATGATGTCGTATTCCTCATCCATTTTGATTACTGTGCCCAAACAAAGAGTTTCGAAAAACAAGAAACAGGTTTACAAAGGGCTTTGCTCGTCAGAATTTCGTAATTATCTGTGTGAGTTCTAGAAGTTATTCGGGCATTCGCACACTACCAACTATTTTGATAGTTCTCCATATTAACGTACAGATGTTAACTGCACGCAAAGCGTAGTAGTGCTGGGCAAATGAATCTCCGACTTAGGACACAGGCATTTGTGACCAGTATGACACATTTTTGGGCATTAATCATCAGTTAAACACTGAAGCGCTTACTAGAAATCTAGAATGGTCTGTATTTATTAGGTAAGTTCTTACATACATCTGCCATTTCTTGACACTACTAATAACTAGCACGTGCACGCATGCCCTATGGCGTGTAGGTGCGTACTCATTCAGTTATTTGTCTTGGCAAAAACAGAGGCCTTCAATATGATAAACTGCGATCAACACTCTTTCCATCTATAGCCTTACTGACAGCTACTCCACTTTGAAACTTTCGGCGACAGCCAAACGTCGAGGTTAGTGCAACTATCCGCTAATTTCTGATTCTTTACTCATAATAGACGAGTACGGTTTCTACCGTCAAGATCGCACTTGTAAGCGTGGCAGCGGTTGTCTTCTCTATATTAAAGCTATTTTAAAGCATTTCCCGTTCGATCTAGGTGCTGAATCATTCTCCGGCAATTACTGCTTTGCATCCACTATCCTGTCTCCCCGTCAAAAGGCGATTACCGGATGAATTTATAATCCCCTAACTTGTCATCCGAAGATGATGAAAACTCCTTGCGAATATTGAGGCTGATTTCGGAGTCCGCCTTTGACGCTAAAGTTATCGCTGGGGATTTCAACTTTCCCGAAATTAATTGGTCATTGAACTGTTGTCCACCCAGATTTCAGTCCTTCCTAGATGCCATAAATTTTTTTTAAAACTGGTCTCAGTTGGTCTGTTACCCAACGAGGGATCAGCGTATTTTAAACCTTATTTTCACGAACGACATTTCTCCCCTTTTCGTTGCAACGAAAAGGGGAGAAGGTATGGATTAAAGTATGGTCATTTTGGAAGGGGTTCTGATTGTAGTCAACTACAATCAGAACCC